TTTGAGGTTTTTAAGGTCAGGCTTGATAAAGCTCTGGCTGGAATGATTTAGTTGGAGATTGGTCCTGCTTTGAGCAGGGGGTTGGACTAGATGACCTCCTGAGGTCCCTTCCAACCCTGGTATTCTGTGATTCTATGATATGTGTAACACACAAATGAAATAAATACTGGAAGTCCCTGCCAACCACCCAGCTGTTTCTATTTGGGAAAATTCTGTAGGCATCACAGCAGAAATTGGTCTGGAAGAGGGATTTGAAGTAGCACAGGCTGGTGACACTATGGGTTAGTTCAGGAAGGACATTCCGTACGTAAGGGATGGCGTAGAAGAAAGCACAAAGATGCCTGTGGGAGAAGTTGACCAATAGGTGATGGAGACTGGCTTTCTTTATTCAGAATGTAGATGCTACTTACAAAAGCAACCAAAAATGGTTGTAGCATAAATATTGTGCAGTCTGCCTTCTGTATCCCCTGGTTACCATCCATAGACTGTACTGAAAGTCCTAGAAAGAAATGATAGGATGATTGGTTAATGTAGTGTGATGTATATCAGTTTTAATAGACATGAATATATTTGAATTCAAAACTTTTAGCTTATAATTTGCAGTTCTCTTTCAGTTCTGAACAAGCTTAGTTAAAACTAGCCTTTTAAAAAGTTGTTGTCTGTTTTTCTGTACATTGAGCCTGTATTTCCTCCAACGTTTTTCAGTGTACATCAGGAGTACCTCCATTTAAGTCAACTGATATTACAGCAATGTATTTGGAGGAATTAAAAAATAATCACTTGTGTTAAGCCTTTGTAGTTATTTTTGTTAGGTTATCCCAATGATGAGAGAAGTTGTTTAATGTGAGCCCAGATCAGCAGGCTTGGCAGCCTTTGCAAACCAGCACCTTAAGCTTCAAATTTAGCATATTCAGCAGGGTACTTTAGGGTACACAGCCTCAGTACATGAAATTTGATATCTTTGATGTGTGGGCCCAGCAGAAAAAAATTCTGTGTTCTCAATTCTCCCTCTCACAGAAAAGCAGAATTGCTGAGTATATTGCTGGTGGAGTGATCTGCCTGACCAGACATTTGTAGGTGCCTGGACGTGTGTGGAGACTCCCATCTCAGTTAACAAGAGACAGATTTTGGCCATTAATAGTTTGTGTGAATTTTTATTTTCAAATTTTTAATACACATCTTCAACTTTGTCAATTCATGTGTATATTTTAATTGTAATACCCAGAATCAGCAACTGGTGTCTATATTTGTATAATGACAGGTTTCATAGTAGCAGCCGTGTTAGTCTGTATTCGCAAAAAGAAAAGGAGTATTTGTGGCACCTTAGAAACTAACCAATTTATTTGAGCATAAGCTTTCATGAGCTACAGCTCACTTAATCGGATACATAAAAGTGGAAAATGCAGTGAGGATGTTTTTATACACACAGGCCATGAAAAAATGGGTGTTTATCACTTCAAAAGGTTTTCTCCCCCCACCCCACTCTCCTGCTGGTAATAGCTTATCTAAAGTGATCACTCTCCTTACAATATGTATGATAATCAAGGTGGGCCATTTCCAGCACAAATCCAGGGTTTAACAAGAACGTCTGAGGAACGGGGGGGTTGGAAAAAACAAGGGGAAATAGGTTACCTTGCATAATGACTTAGCCACTCCCAGTCTCTATTCAAGCCTAAGTTAATTGTATCCAATTTGCAAATGAATTCCAATTCAGCAGTCTCTCGCTGGACTCTGGTTTTGAAGTTTTTCTGTTGTAATATCACAACTTCCATGTCTGTAATCGCGTGACCAAGAGATTGAAGTGTTCTCCAACTGGTTTATGAATGTTATAATTCTTGACATCTGATTTGTGTCCATTTATTCTTTCACGTAGAGACTGTCCAGTTTGACCAATGTACATGGCAGAGGGGCATTGCTTGCACATGATGGCATATATCACATTGGTAGATGTGCAGGTAAACGAGCCTCTGATAGTGTGGCTGATGTTATTAGGCCCTGTGATGGTGTTCCCTGAATAGATATGTGGGCACAGTTGGCAACGGGCTTTGTTGCAAGGATAGGTTCCTGGGTTAGTGGTTCTGTTGTGTGGTATGTAGTTGCTGGTGAGTATTTGCTTCAGGTTGGGGGGCTGTCTGTAGGAAAGGACTGGTCTGTCTCCCAAGATTTGTGAGAGTGATGGATCATCCTTCAGGATAGGTTGTAGATCCTTGATAATGCGTTGGAGAGGTTTTAGTTGGGGGCTGAAGGTGACAGCTAGTGGCGTTTTGTTATTTTCTTTGTTAGGCCTGTCCTGTAGTAGGTGACTTCTAGGTACTCTTCTGGCTCTGTCAATCTGTTCCTTCACTTCAGCAGGTGGGTATTGTAGTTGTAAGAATGCTTGATAGAGATCTTGTAGGTGTTTGTCTCTGTCTGAGGGGTTGGAGAAAATGCGGTTGTATCGTAGAGCTTGGCTGTAGACAATGGACCGTGTGGTGTGGTCTGGGTGAAAGCTGGAGGCATGTAGGAAGGAATAGCTGTCAGTAGGTTTCCGGTATAGGGTGATGTTTATGTGACCATCACTTATTAGCACCGTAGTGTCCAAGAAGTGGATCTCTTGTGTGGAGTGGTCAAGGCTGAGGTTGATGGTGGGATGGAAATTGTAGAAATCATGGTGGAATTCCTCAAGGGCTTCTTTTCCATGGGTCCAGATGATGAAGATGTCATCAATATAGTGCAAGTAGAGTAGGGGTATTAGGGGACGAGAGCTGAGGAAGCGTTGTTCTAAGTCAGGCATAAAAATGTTGGCATACTGTGGGGTCATGTGGGTACCCATAGCAGTGCCGCTGATTTGAAGGTGTACATTGTCTCCAAATGTGAAATAGTTATGGGTGAGGACCCATAGTTGGGGGGGAGGGATAGCTCAGTGGTTTGAGCAATGGCCTGCTAAACCCAGGGTTGTGAGTTCAATCCTTGAGGGGGCCATTTAGGGATTTGGGGCAAAAATTGGGAATTGGTCCTGCTTTGAGCAGGGGGTTGGACTAGATGACCTCCTGAGGTCCCTTCCAACCCTGATATTCTATGATTCTATGATTCTATAGGACAAAGTCACAAAGTTCAGCCACCAGGTTTGCCGTGACATTATCGGGACTAGTGTTTCTGACGGCTTGTAGTCCATCTTTGTGTGAAATGTTGGTGGGGGGAGAGAAAACCTGGATTTGTGCTGGAAATGGCCCACCTTGATTATCATACACATTGTAAGGATGATCACTTTAGGGAAGCTCTTACCAGCAGGAGAGTGGGGTGGGGTGAGAAAACCTTTTGAAGTGATACAGACCATGAAAAAATGGGTGTTTGTATATAAAAACATCCTCACTGCATTTTCCACTTTTATGCATCCGATGAAGTGAGCTGTAGCTCACGAAAGCTTATGCTCAAATAAATTGGTTAGTCTCTAAGGTGCCACAAGTACTCCTTTTCTATATGTGTATGTGGCCATGGTTTCTTGCAATTACATGGAGATAGATTATATCCTGTCACTTTAGCAATACAAGAATTGTTATTGCTAACTTCCCTTCTTATATGTTGGAGCAGAGAAAGATTGTATTCATATAAAATTTGTCACCTAAAGAGAAATGTAAATATAGATATGCTCTGTTTATGATTATAATATAATTTCTTAGAGAAGGCTGTAACATCAAGTTATCGTAACTACAGCTGAAGATCACTATTTCATTCCTTGAATGAATTGAATTTGTCATTGAATTTATCACCAGACCAATGCAGTCATATTCCATTTTCAAAATTACATAAGTGACTTGAAAATTAAATCACAGCTCACAGGTTCTCTCTTTTCACACACTCTTAGTAATAGTTAGCAGGGTCTACTTTTAGATATGCTTTGATAATAGATGCGCCAAGGACAGCAGATTTAGCAAATAAATATAGCTTTTTTCCTTCCTTTCTTTAAATTGATAACGAATTGATAAGGACTTGTGATATATACATATAGGATTGTTTTTCAGGGCAAGTTATATGAATATAAACTTTGTAGTAGTTTAAAATCTGGAGATGGACAAACCTTAAAAAGTGTGAGGTTTTGTGAATTCCTTGTGCTGTTTTGGGGGTTCACAAAACTAGTTTGAGTTCCTCAACTCTGTTTTCTACTGATGGGAAGCCTGAGCTGGTGTACAATTTATATTAAGGAAAGAACAGCTTCCAAAAGCTCCACTAGAATTTTTCTTCCCCCTCTCTGCTGTTTATCCAGTCTTTCTCTCTCTCTGCTCACTGCTTCAGTTTTACTCTGGTTTTCTAGAACTCATTTCAGCAGGAAGTTGTTCAGGCAGAGTTTTGCAAGTTCCAAAAGGGGTTGGCTATTTAAATAGATAATGGATACAGTAAATACGAACAAATTTTTTAAAGGGATATTAAACCTTATTCTTCAGGGTTTAAGCCAATCTCCAATTATTACAGATCAGGATAAGTTGTGAGGGCATCTGCCTACTGTCTACACCTTCTTCTGAAGCATCTGGTACTGGCCACTATCTGCACAGTATACTGGTCTAGATCGAGTGAAGGTCTGATTCAATGTGGCAACTCCTGTGTTCAGCAGGTTGTTTCCCTCTCTGTCCATGCTCTTCTCATTTTCAGTCTTCTTTCAGTGGAGTGTAACGTAATTCTGAGTCAAACGTTTGAACTCAGTGTTTAAGTGCATTCAAAATTAAGCAAAATCAGTTTGACCACATCTGTTAAAAATGGTGTTATTTTGTCACATATTACATGGAGGACCTTTTTATTGCTATGCAGCTCAAGTAATATGAGAAATGTGATTACTTCTTTGTAGTTAATTACAAGTCAGTTGCTATAATGAAATATATTTCATAAAGAGCGTAGACTGAATTACAGTGGTTGGGATTCATTTTGAAATCATTTTCTTAATTGGTATTCCTTTACAAAAATTCTTTTGTACAGATAAAATATGTACAACAACTTTTAAGTTTCGTTTCATCTTTTTTTTTTTGCAGTGATCTCAGTGAAAATCAAATTCAAGCAATTCCAAGGAAGGCTTTCCGTGGGGCCGTAGATATTAAAAATCTGTAAGTAGTTTCCTATTGACTTTTATATTTTGATGGTTATATTTTACTTGCACATTGTCTTTGTTTTATCAGATGTTTTTCTCTTCAAACACCTTTTGTAGCAACTGTTGAGAGAGTCTCTTCCTGAAAATCAAGAGATTTATTGTTGTTTTAGCAAAAGTATTTAATACATTTGAACATCCTAGAATTTCCTCTCACCAAATCCAAATGGTTAAAAAGGAATTAAAGATGTCAAAACAATATATTTATTTTCTTATGGTAACCTGGGTTTAATATCTGGTCTTCAGGCCTTTTTCAGGGTATGTCTATACTACTCGCCGAATCGGCGGGCAGCGATGGATCGAGCGGGGGTTGATTTATCGCATCTAGTCTAGACGCGATAAATCCAGCCCCAAGCGCTCTCCCGTCGACTCCTGTACTCCAGCACCGCGAGAGGCGTAGGCAGAGTCAACGGGGGAGTGGCAGCAGTCGACTCACCATAGTGAAGACACCTCAGTGAGTAGGTCTAAGTATGTTGACTTCAGCTACTTTATTCATGTAGCTGAAGTTGCACAACTTAGATCGATTTCCCCCCTCCTGCCCCCGCCCAGTGTAGACCAGGCCTCAGTGTTTTAATGGAAAATGAAAATATGAACTATCTTTTCTGACTATAACTATTTCTTGTGAAAATTTGTTCTGCTTAGGGTCTAGAGGGCTGCCTTTTATTTAATCTTGTTAAAGAGAAAGATTGAAATAATTGTATTAACCTATCCACTAGAATACATATCTACTTTTTATCTGACTACTTCTCTCACACAGTTTTTCTTTCATGGTAAAGCAAGCCCTTTGTACGGGATTGGTGACCATCTTTCTTGAGACATGGTAGCCCCATAACTCGTGCAATTTTTCATGGCTCCTAAATGTGGAATTTTGTCAGGTCTAAGGCAACAAATTGGTGACTTCTGCACTTACCATTTGCTAGTTGTGAGTGAATAAATTGCCTTTTATTCTATTAAAGACAGCAATAGTAAAACAGGACTTTTCAAAGCCCTCTTGTGGATTCCCCTCTGGATACAATTTTCTTCATTTGTTGTTCTGCCTGTAACAAGCAGTTTCTGAAAAGAAATGTTGTTCAAATTAAATGTGGGAGGAGGGAGGCTAAAAAGCAAAGCAAATAATGGTGGAACACTGCGTAGCTTATAATGGGACATCCTGAGACCAGGAAGGGAAACAAGTTTGTATGCTAATCTAAAGCTTTCTGCATCTGGTATCAGGCTAGCAAATTAAGTGGGCCTGTTGGATTAAACAGTTCTTGCGTAATTTCATGTTTAGAGCTTCAGCTTCAGAAAAGGGTTCAGGAATGTTCTTTGAGTCTGTTTACAGAGATTAGATTGGATTTGTGCTGGAAATGGCCCAACTTGATTATCATACACATTGTAAGGAGAGTGATCACTTTAGATGGAGAAAACCTGGATTTGTGCTGGAAATGGCCCAACTTGATTATCATACACATTGTAAGGAGAGTGATCACTTTAGATAAGCTATTACCAGCAGGAGACTGGGGTGGGGGGAGATATTTTTTCATGCTTTGTGTGTATGAAAAGATCTTCTACACTTTCCACAGTATGCATCCGATGAAGTGAGCTGTAGCTCACGAAAGCTTACGCTGAAATAAATTGGTTAGTCTCTAAGGTGCCACAAGTACTCCTTTTCTTTTTTCAAATATCTCTGCCTCCCTGACCCTAACAGTCATCCTACTCCAGGGTCTGCGCAATCTTTTTTGTGCATCATCCTCCTTATCTCACTTTGGCAATCTCTGTAGACCCTTTTTCTTTTAGAGCATCAAGCTCCTGTAGCCTCTATAGTGGCCTATCGTCTCCTGTATTCTTCATTGTGCTTAGGTGTGTAGGAGAGCATTGTCTAGCGAGAATATTATGATACTGCAATGACTTAATGGCATGAAACATATTCAGAAAGACATATAATTGTATTTCTGTTTATAAAAAGGTGATACTGGTGATTTTCCATCACCTCACAGTGAGACTGTGGCTAGAATAAACAGCCACCTCTCCCGATGACACATAGGAGAGAGGTGGCTGTTTATTCTAGGGAGGCAAATGAATTTTGTAAACTAATTTCTGTACTCCTCAAGCTTCTTTTATTCAGCTGAATGTGAGCTCTATCATAGAGTCTTGTAAAGATACTAGAAAGTTTAAAGCAGAGAATTGGGCCTATTAATTATGATTCTTGACTCATGCTTTTATATTTAAAAATATTCATGTTGAAGTTTCACTCTGCATTAAAATCTGAGATTAAATCTGAGGCAAGCCCTACCCCCTTGTATAGATGTTGCTCAAGGTGTGTTGGTTTGGGTTTTGAGTTTTAATTTTTGGCATTTTGGGGCCATTATTATTTCAAGTCTAAGAAAATTTTTGCTACCACTAGAGGGCAATATTTCTCTGAATGATCCTTTGCATAAGAAAATTGTTATGGCTCTAAAAAGAACTTTGAATAGTAATGAGTCTGCATCAATGGAAACTTTCTAATGTGGGGGTGAGATTTAAGAATGCCAGAAATATCCCAGTACATTGTAATTTAGACTCCAGTTTCCTGTGTGACATAGGACAGGACTACCTCTAGGATTTAACAAAGGTTTAGAGTATGTATTCTAGTGTGGTAGCCGGCAGAGCAGTTTGCCTAAGGTTCTGGTATTCAAATCACTTATAATCACTCTGTACACACCAATAACAATGTTTAAAGCCTTTCCTCTTTTGGGGATAATCCATGCAAAGCTATCAGCAAGGTCCTAACAATACCAAAAAGTCCAAAGCCTCTTTGTAGCACCAAAATTCTGAATTTCAGAATGGCCACCATAGATTGCTTCCTTTTCTTGTGGTCCAAAGAAGAATATTTTCTCAGATCTTTGTCACTAGTAGAACAAAAGGAAATATCAAAAAGTTTTCCACAGAAATACCTATACATCATCTGACTAGACAATGACAGTATCTCTTTGCCATCTCGTAGTGGAATGTATATCATTGGGTTGGGTGGTCTCTGTGTAACTTGTGATAACAGGCAAGTTCTAGCATTTATTAAATTAAATCTTTAGAAAATGGATGCCCTCCACACCTCTCTGGAGACTTGAGAAAGAGAGGCAGAGTTTAAAACCACAATTTCCTATCCATAGAAGTAATATCTGTCAAGATCAGATAGATAGCAAACACTGTGTTCTGTTTGATTGTCCAAAAGAAGTCAGGAAACAGCTGACCAGTCGTCGGTTTAGAAAGATTGAACTAATTTGCAAACAAAAGCTGTTACAAAATAGAGTGGTTAAAATCTATTTTCTATCCATCGATTCAGGTGATTGTCTAATATACAACCACCAAAGTACTTGCATCGCCTCATTGAGTATTATTGTCACCAATACTTAAGGTTTGTTCTAATCTCAGCATTTCTGATGTATTACTCTGACCTTTGGTCTGGCCATGATGTTAAGAATCTTCATCAAAATTATAGTGGTGATAGTAGCAGAGATAAGGAATAAAGTAAAAGTAGGAATCTGATATTGGGACAATTTGCTAATTCAAACTACATTATGTCTAGAATTTATTCTTAAACTACAGTTGATGTTCATCAAACGCACTAGTACTTTATTTAGTCAGGAGTCAAGAGACAGAACAGCCTGGCAAGGCATTTCAGTGCAGTCAAATAATGGCCTTCCAATCTTCCAGAAGAGTGAGCAAAATAAAACAAAAGTTTGTTCAGCTCAGCTAGATGGGAGCATTCTTCTTTGTGCAAGTAATATCTTTCTTGGGTCTTTCTGGTTTCTTGCCTCAGAGTTAGCTCCTGTGTCGACTACACTCCAGAGCCCTCTTGCACCTTCTACAAAGAAAGAGTTCAGTTTCCATAGAACTTGGACAAAATCATCCTTATCAGGAAAATCTCAAGCTTTCTTTAATATTATGCATAAGATATCACCATTTTCAGAGGACTTGAGAGCCAGAATTGCTAGTGTATTCTGAAAGACGTCAATCTCTTGGGATAGCTAGTTCACCTACATCACCAACTCAGACATTAAATCTGACCAGGTCGGAGATATGTGTTTACATAAACATCTTAGAAAAAAGAGCAGTATTGGAGGCTCAGAACATGTTTTGTTGGACTCTGAAATGTATGAAGTTCTCCAGGACAATTCAGCGGTGCTATAATAGAAACTATTGAAATGTCAGTATTTACTAACATTTACCACAATTATGATTGACCTCTCCTGTCCTAAGTAGAGGGGGAAATGGTGGTCATCTTCTACTATACTGGATGATAACTCTTGGTAAATGCTGACTTTTTAATGGCACCCACTGCTTCCATACTAAATAAACAAGGTGCACCCAGAGTCAGCCCATACGAAAGGAACCATTAAAGGTCCTATGTTGAGCCCCCAAAAATATTTAGATACGTATATCTCCCTTATCTGGAGAAACCCTCCTAAACAACTGATGATTTCAGTAGACCGAAGATTCAGTCCAGGGAATGGTTGTTACATTCTGATTTGTTCAGCGTGTCACAAGTGGTGACAGATGCCAAAGACAGCTCTGTTTGCATCAGAAATCAGTCACTGATTGCTTGGGCCTGTTCTTCAGTGGTGGTGTTGGGCCACATTGTCTGAAAGGCAAAGAGTGACTAGACATAGTCTATACTGGTTTTCCCAGACAGGCCTCCCAATACCTGGTATGCCAGCAATTCAAATGGCAGGGGACGGTGTGCTGCTTTTCTCTCAAAGGCTGAATTATTCTCTTCAGGAGGACTGCCTTCACCCATGTGAAGAACACCCTTATCAATATTGTTGCTCTTAGCTACAATCATTGATGTTATGCTTCAGTTTAGGTGATCCATGTTGTCAAGCCACAATATCTGGATCCAACTGTTGGAAACAGAGAAAGTTTGGTTTCTGTTTTGAGAACCATCAGTGTACTTTGACCTCTGAATCTTCCCTCTTTAACGTATGTATTTTTTCAGGAGGGAAT